ACTTCCAAATACTAGTAGGTCCTGCTTCACCCATAAGGTATAAGCCTATAAAATTTGAATCAAATCCGTCAACCGGACAGACGGATGAACGGGCGTCATTTGTTGTTGCTGCATTAGTTTTTCTTCATTCATTGTCTTAATCTTTCTTTGTCTTGATTTGATTGTGATGTTATCTTTCTTCAGTGTCCACAGACTTGAGACTGCGCGTAAGTGGGTTAAACGTTTTGATCCGGCCGGAAAACTCTCCCCTTCCCCTTACTGATGTTCTTATGTTGGTCTGTCTTCTTAGTTTACCCTTTTGCGGAGACGGACGAACGAACGGACAGATGGACGGCTTTCCTATATCCCCCTCGAACCTCGTTCGGTAGGATAATGAAGAATAGTATATTCTGCATAATTTGAAATATGTATTTGTATGTTCGGCCCACCCTGCATGTGTATGGCAGTCATTGTTAGCCCTCGGGAAAACATCGTCACATCATCCTTGATTGCTGTTTAACACATCATTGCATGCATATTAATTACATGGATAACTACAAGCTATTCTTGTATTACGTGATGACATAACAATTGGTTGCAACGCATTCTGATTTATCAGAGTCTCACTTTATCTAACGCTTTGGTATTCCAAAGGGTATTACTAGCTGTGGACCCCACAATGGTTGCAATATATAATGGTAAACTGGAACTCGAATTCTGTTAATAATATCTAAACATTATTACAGCTCGACCTGTTTGGAATTTTTCTTAGAATTATTACAAATAAAAGGAAAGCAAGGCGTAATTTGTTATTTATGTAAACTGTCAAACATGTTAAATGCCCGAGATTCCATAAGTGTAAGGAGTCACGTACGTGGAGCTCCAAGTGTTCCAGGCTGCTAAAGTATTCCGACTCTGACCAAAGTATTCTAGGTTTACTTGTTTTATTAAATGGACTCACACGTTGATTTCCAAATTGTCATCCCATGTAATGTTTCTTCAAGAAATGACTGTTGTAATTGAGTTAACGACCAACTTGTTGCCTCGTGTAAAAATACATCCTACAGGGTGTTTCAAAAAGTTTGCAACTTTTTTAAAACGCTAGAAAAGTATCATAGCAATAAGGGATTGGCATAAAAATTGTTTACAGAAACATAGGCATATTTTACCATTCAAATACTTAAGCTAAAACTGACTTCGATTTTTGTTTTGTCAGATCTTTGAATATCAATGGTCAATTGTTCATGTGTCCGAGATTGACCGTTTCTCCTAGAAAATGTGACTCTCTATGATTTTATGTGATCAACAATAACACATTCATTATATGTTAACTAAATCTGCTACAATCTTGGATAACTGTTTGACCAATGTCTAGTACAGGTTTATATCAGTATCTAGTCACTATGGTATTATGTTGTACTGTATCTATTGATCATTTATCAAACAAATGTTCCATCCGCCTTTCACCCTTCACTATTGCACAGAGACAAGAATGAAACTGGTCATTGGCGTGATCCAGCAATTCTTGTAGTTCTCTCCACTTCTGCAGAACTTCTTTTAGTTGATCAATAGTTTATGGGGGATACAATTAACTGCAATAAGCTGCTCCAGGTGTCCCCGTGTGTGATAGTCACAGTGGTTGACATCTGGTATTGGGTGGCCTTTCATCAGGACTAATGAATCGAGGGCTATTCTCCTTCAGATATATCTAATTGACTTTGCCCGATGGCGGGGAACGATAGTGAAGGTGAAGGGCGGATGTATAGAACATTTGTTTAATAAATAATTAATACGAAGATACAGCATAACATAATACCAAAGTGAGTAGATACTGACACATTTTCTAGAAAAAAAACTCAAGGTAGATCTCGAACACAGGAACAATTGACCATTGATATTCAAAGATCTGACAAAAAAATTTGAAGTCAGTTTTAGCTTTAATATTCGAATGGTAAAATATGCCTATCCTTAAGTTTCTGTAAATAATTTTTTATGCCAATACCTTAATGCATGTTATGATACTTTTCTAGCCTTTTAAAAAAGTTGCAAAATCGTTTGGCACACCCTGTATATACTAGCAGGGTACTAGTTGAAGGATGTCACATTCCCGAATGTTCGACCTTTGCATAATGGAACACTCTCAAGGAGCAATGTATTATACAGCAAAATATTGCAATAGAATGTCATATATCAGGTTGGACCTCAATTTCAGAAATATGAATCATTTTTGGAAAACGGGCATACATTTTGAAAACTGAACTTTGCAAATTCTCCAAGATGGTCCAACAGTTCGAGGCCAGCGTTTTCAGCATATTTCTAGACACCCTCCCTTGTGCATTTCCAGATCTGATAAAATAAGTGATCTCGGATTAGAATAGTTGGGCAAGAGTCCGAACACTTTGGTAGCCCTGAACAATTGTGCTTCAATTGTATCACTACACACCATACTGAATATCAAAGATATACAAACACTTACTGTATTTTTATATTTAGAATTGGTCTGTCGAATGAGTTTTGCAAAAATAGAATAACTCATTTAAAAAATAAAGCTTTTAGACCATTTTTTTATAAATTATGCTAACTTTTTCAGTCAGGTTCGGTTACTGCGTGTATGAATATCTGATGAGAATGGTGCCACAATTGAAGTAAACTTTTGGTCTATTATTTCAAATATTCCTATATCAGCAAACATGTAAATGATAATTTTGATGTTCTGTTCCATGTTGGTGAAGCAATCATGAACGATATGGCCAGGATTTCTGAATTTCCGCATGTGCCTGTATACCCGACCGTACTTCAAATGATGTATGTTATTTGTTTTTTTCATCATGAACCAACCACAAAAAGTGTTTTTTCTTGTGACATTTAAATGAGCTATTTTTGAATATTAACATATGGCCTTGATTTATGTTTTCATGACATGGAGTAAACACAAGTGGGCCAATTTTTACTTTTTACAAAATATTGTCCTTCGGCATTAATACACTACATTAAAACACCCTGGTATCCATCCACTGTCTGTACACACCTTTTCAGTACTAGTGAGGTATCAACAGCATTCTTGGTTTCAACAAATGTTCTTAAATATGAGACACTCGGATCCCCCTCTTTAGGGCCGGTCCAAGTCCAAACAGGGGTCCAAACAAAGTCCAAGGGGCATTTTCTGGGAAGTATGGAGAAAGCCCCAATATCCTTCTGTCCTGATACCTACATATTTAACTGAAAGCAACTTATGTGTTTATCACTTGTCTAATGTATCACGCGGCGTTCATGTTTTCTGTATACAGGATTTATAATGATTTCACACTTATGAGAAGAGGATATTAACAGCAGTTATTGTTAAAACAGACATTTGTAGAATTACGTTACCTTGTAATGGGGTTTCGATCATTTGTTCAAAAGATGGCTATAGCGTTATTGAGGTTACCATATCAACCATAACTTCAGAAATATTCATTACCAGCATCTAAATTTTTTATATCCTATGAGGAAATAAATACTTTGACGCCATTCAGATATTTTGATGTGATTGACGTTTTCGGTTATCACCAACAACCTCAGTAAGTTCCAACTCGATTTTTGAAAGCCAAATATTATGGTCACGAAATTATATTTAGGTCACATCTTTTTATGTTTACATCATGTCTTCCTTTTAACTGCTGAACACGCCATCTCACATATCAACTATATCAAATCATCAATGCTAGAAATGGTTTATCATCTAGCTTGTCGGGTCTAATGTTTCATTATAATTATGGCATCGGATTTGCCCATTATTTTAGATGAGGCGCAAGTAAGCAATAGAAATGCATGAAATTATTTTTCAAGAAATCTCATCCAAAGTGCTCCCTGGCAATCAAAATAATAGCGGGTAGTTGAATGAATAGCCGGAATTTATATCTCTTGAATTAAAATCATAATAATCTCATTGAACTTGAAAGGAACGAAACATGTAGTTTTTTGATCCGTCATCATGATGGACTATGTTGTGAAAAATATACCCTGCGTGCAGAGTCTAGATAAAGACGAAGCTCTCTTTTAAGAAGTGAAGTCAAACGAATGCAAAGGGTATGAAAAATATGAGTTCACGTACACACTGACATTTGGAATTGTAACCATACATCATTGTTGACTCATATTCAAAAGTCGTGAACATTGAGCCAATTACTGTCTGTTTGTCATGAAATCACTAATGAGAACATTATTAATAACTTAAATTGTTAACATTTATACTGTAAATACTAATGAGAACATCATGTTGTAATTTAAATTGTTAACATTTATTACTATATTGTACTCCTAAAAACTTATCAATTTATAAATGCAAAATATTGTTTTGTTTTTCAATTACAAAAATAGCACCTGCCGATAACACTCGTAACTAAATAATTTAGAACGGAAATATTTCTTTATGTAACATTCATTGGCATGTGTCAGTGAGTAAATAAGAAAACCATGCTCCATATAGTGTTTCCAAAGGAATCTGTTAAGGACCTGCAGTACACCTTAACGTACATGTACTTCTATCTCCTCGAACTCAAAATTTTCGAATACTTAATTCGTGAACGCTTTGTTGAGAATGGATTCGAGATCTACTCAAAATCTATATCAATATCTATTATTCTGGAAAGAAGGATAGTCCTGCATGATCCAGATCTTTTTATATATTAATATTGTTTTCATGTCATATTAAAGGGCGGGGGGGGGGCGTTGTTTAAGTGCTCACTCGACATGGGCTAGTTGTGTGTCTTATCACGATCAGGTCATGTTTATCAATTCCATTCTTGAATCGATTTATATCTAGATCTGTACGGATTGGGGAAGATTGTTCCATGTGTTGATGATCCTATTTCCGAATACATTTTCCTTATATCAAGTCTGCTGTATCTACTGTATGGCTTAATTTTTCTGTATTCCGATCCCTCTCGCCATCTTCATTTTTTCTGATTTTTGTGCATAAATACGTTAGGGGGAGTATTATCATCTTAATAACCACCTTGCAAATCAAAGATGTGCAATTCTTTTCAAATTTTGTCGCAGTTACGTACTGAGCCTGACTATTTTTTATTTAATCTTGAAAAAACACTTAGCAATAGAAATCGCGAAGCTCCTGCATGGGAATCGGTGAATTGATGTTCAGCTTATGCCCTAGTTCCATTTTCAAAGGCGTACGGCTTTGATGAGTAGTCTTAGGTGATACATGATTTGTTTGGCTTGATCTCGGCATAAATTCATCACTGCTTCCAACGTGTCCACTTTCGACTTCATCTCTGGATGAGTGAGCGGTGGAGAAACCCACCCGTGACGTCATATTTTGGAATTCCCTTTTCTTCGTTAAAACTGAACACGTCTTTTCAAGACGTTTTCGGAGCAGTTGACGGAATCGTGTGTTCGTCAATGAGTAGATAATTGGATTTAGAATCGTAGAAAACTTAGCGAATACACTTGGAAATGTAGCGATTAACGGAGTAATGTTTTTGTAATTGCCAAATATGCCATAAAGAGCCAAAATTGCGTACGGCAGCCATGCAATTGAGAAACAAACCACTGTCAGCACCATTGTCTTGGTTACTTGCCATTCATACCTTCGCGCTATCATACTGCGAGTTTTTGAGCCCTCTGAGAATTTCTTATTTAAATGACTATGTCTGAATGCATTCATGCTTTCTAGTTCCCTTTTCTGGAAAAACACATATCTCATAATTGATGAATAACAGAACACGATGATAAACACAGGTACACAGAATCCACATACGAAGAGTGTTAAAACATATCCTTTATTTTGAGCATCTTGACTGATATAATCAAACGTACAGCTATAACCCCATCCTTCCAGTATGAAGTTTCCCCAGCCAAACAGCGGGGGAATCAGAAGCACTATGGCGTATGTCCACACAATCGGGATGGCTACGAACCCCAATCTTCCTGTTATTATGGACGGATTACGAAATGTCTGCAAAATAAGTACGGTGTACCTTTCGATCGAGATAGATGCCATAGTCGCTATGGAGGCTAATCCGGATACCCCACTCACTACAACATACCAATTGCATCCTGAAAATACAAATGGGACATTTCCAGTCAGCTGAAACAGTTTAAGAACAAATGAGTTTAAAGCTACGCTTTAAAACGCCTAACCATCGTCACCGTACAGCGTCAAAAAATTCCGCCGTACAGTTCATCTGTACGGTGACGTTTTCGCCATTTTGGACCGCCCTTATTTGACACTGTACAGTGACGCGATAGTTAGGCGTGTTTAATGTGCCATGATACTTAACAGGAAATAACAAAACAGGAAGTGACCAATTTTTTTCAGAAAATGTGCCCAATATATTGCTCTAAATGATACAATCTTATATCGTCACCGTACAGCGTCACCGTACAGCGTCAAAAAAAATTCCGCCGTACAGTCCATCTGTACGGTGACGTTTTCGCCATCTTGGACCGCCCTTATTTGACACTGTACAGTGACGCGATAGTTAGGCGTGTTTAAGGTACCATGATACTTAACAGGAAATGACAAAACAGGAAGTGACCAAAGATTTTGCAATTTTGAATAAAGTTTTGTTTTGACCTCCAGTCAATTCAACTAGTTCCACATACCATTTACAGGTCCAGGATCACAATGTTCATGGTCAAAATGACCCTGGATGAAATACCCGTTCAGCCCTCTGAAAATGTGACTGAAAAATAGCTAAAAGTTTGAGGTAGGAAAGGTCAGGAATTTTTCAGAAAATGTGCCCAATATATTGCTCTACATGATACAATCTTTGAAAATTTGATATCATTCATAGAAAAGGAAAAAAAAGAAAAAAAGATTTTCCTATCTACCTATTTTCCATTTTATGACCGCCATTTTTGTTTCAGACAAGTTTCTAAACAAAGATTGTATCAGTTAGAGCATTATATTGGGCACATTTTCTGCAAAATTCCAAAGATTCTGTTCAGTGACCTTCCCTAGCTCCTACTTTTAGCTATTTTTCAGTCACATTTTCAAAGGGCTGAAAAGGTTATTTCATCATGTTTAGGGTCATTCTGACCATGAACATTGTGATCCTTGACCTGTAAATGGTATGTGGAACTAGTTGAATTGACTGAAGGTCAAAACAGAACTCTGTTATCTTTGTTAAAAAAATGTCTACAAATGCAAATTTTTGGGTCACTTCCTGTTTCGTCATTTCCTGTTAAGTATCGTGGCACCTTAAGTTATGGAATCGACCAAGCAGTTCGATTAACGTCTATATGATCTGTTATTAAAATAATAGGTTACACGGTGCGGTAGTGAGCTGCGTCCCTACTATGCACGCAGTTTGAAACACTGACAAAATGCAGGACTTATACCAGACGGGGAGAGTACGGCTCCCAAAAGATCCAAAAATATTAGGAACACAAGATGAGCTTCGTTCATAAGACAGTACTGATATATAGAGACGAAGTTATGAAAGAAACACTTTTTTTCTCGATCGATGAAAACCTAGTTATCTAAATATAAGGGTCCTAAGTAGCTTGCGTGTGTAGTGTTGCGTCATATTTATCCACAGGCATATACAACTGTATGGCACCCTCCTCTAAACTCACACATGTAGCATTGCCACCCTATCATGTCCAGTCTACAAATGTGTGACAGTAATGCACAAGGACGTATTGACAGGATTCGTACCTGAGTGGCTAATAGAGAGGCCAGGAACCATGGTACTCCCGTAATCACTAGAAAATGAGTAGACAATGTGAACAGATCACCGAAGTGGGTACAAAATGATATATAGCATGGTAGAGTTGCAATGGTGGATAGCATAAAGACCAATTACAAAAACGCAACAAACAGATAAATCGTAAAACAATAAAACCAGCGATGACTACATCTATTTCATTCAGATCTTAAGGCAGCACCACGAACTTTCATGACTGTGTCTTGGAATGTTGAAGACTAGAACTGCTACGGACTGTGGTAGCCCCAATGCATATTTTTTGTAATTGTATTTGTATTTGTATATTTATTCAACCAGCAATACGAAAAGGTACGAAAAATTTCGAACGGAATGCGTGACATATACGTAATTCGCGTGAAAAATCCGAACGAAATGCGTACATTTTTTCCGGCGTTCGTATTTTTGCTGTGTAGACGATCTTTTTTAGAAATTTTTCTACAGAAATATTTTTGCTTGACAATTACCAGGTAAAATGCGTATTTGCGTGACATTTTCTGTCACGCAAAAATAACTGGCGTGACTTCAAATTCTTCAGCAAATGCGTGACAAATACGCAAATTGCGGGACAGTTGACAGGCCTGCTATAGTTATACATATTGCATATAATGTCAACATTAAGTCAAGATCATGGTAGGTCATTACTCTTGTGTTTAGATTAATTTGATCTCTTTTATGATAAATTAATTTCTTCATCACCAGCTGACCATAGCAACCGCAGGACACAATCAAACGTGTTATGATAACATAGAAACACTCACCATGACAAAACTTGTTAATAATACAACATAACTTGTATTGTCATGCACGAACTGAGCAGGTCACTGGCCTTTGTGTTATGTAATCTGATGCTATTAGAGTGTATTAGAGTGTAAAAATAGGTTTGGTCGTTCATGCTTTTTACTTTTATTTTCAAATATACTTATTCAATCACTTAACAATCAATTGTAGGTTATCAAAAGAAGTATAAGATAATTAACGAAATGAGTAACATTTAAACAGTCCATAACACAATGTCAGATAAAGGCTAGGTGAACATATATATTTATTGAAAGGAAATGAATTACACAAGTTGCATTTTTCAAATGAGTAAACATTGTCTTAATATTTTGACAAAATGTTGATTTTGTCAAGTGACTATTAGCTGTTAATTCAATTGTATAACATATCACCCCTTGTTAACGGATTTGGAATCAATGCTGCCAGGATAAAATGGTTTGCAGAGAAAGGTTTTCAAATGAGGTGCTGTCCAGCCAGGGAGGCCATTTTGGGTGATTTCGGTTGAAGATCTCTAACCAAGGGAAAGATCAATACCCGGTGATTTCAGCGGGAAGTGGCGTTTCGTTCAGTGGATGAGCTGCGCGCGCATGCATAAATGTGATTATCCAATATAATTTAAGGGGAGGGCTATTTGAAATGCTTCCTGGTCATCTCAACCCCAAGTCAACTCAACCCAGTAAAACTCAACCCCAAGTCAACTCAACCCCAGTAAAACTCAACCCCAAGTCAACTCAACCCTGTAAAACTCAACCCCAGCAAAACTCAACCCCTATATTTCTATATATTGATAAACTTATAAGAAAGTTTATTTCATAAAAATAATTCTGATTATTCAGTTTATGATTTTCATTCTTAGACCACTGCCTTTTTAGATTATAGTTAATAATGAGTTTATCTCCAAAATGTCAACATGGTACTAATAGGATTAAAATATGGGTCATTTTATTAATCTTGCTAATACATTTGTTTTGTTGACACTCGTGATTATTTGGAAATATGGAACATGACCATTGCTTTCCAGGGGCATAGCCAGCTTTCAGTCAGGAGGGATTCGATCGCCCAAAAAATCAGGTTTTCAGTCAGGGGGTGCCGATCGTGGCATAATTGAGCCAAAAAAGATATGTTTTGACAAAAAATGATGCAACTTCCTTCAAAATTGGGGGGAGGGTGTGTGCGCATCCCTCCTGGCTACGCCTATATGCTTTCAGTCTATTAAGTAGTAAATGTTAATGATTTTGTTAATGCATGTTCATATAAATAAAAAGTTAAATTACATTGTTAATCATTTCTAAATTATCTAAAATTTGATTTCAAAAGATGTCTTAAATTAGATAATAGTGGCAACTTGATGAATTATCCTTGAGCCTAACTGTTTTTTAATACTTTTACAACTTTCCATTCAAAGTATCATGCAAAATGCTAGATTTTCAAAAATGAATGACTTAAATTATTCATCATAAAAAAAATTAAATTAGACATTGCACAAATGAATAGGGTTGAGTTTTACTGGGGTTGAGTTTTACAGGGTTGAGTTGACTTGGGGTTGAGTTTTACTGGGGTTGACTTGACTTGGGGTTGAGTTGACTTGGGGTTGAGTTGGACTGGGTTGAGATGACTTGGGGTTGAGATGACCTGTCACCATTTGAAATAGTTTTTGGTCTCAGGCGCGACCCAGGGCTGTTGTCTTAAGGACATTTCGTTGAAAATGAGCCATTCGGCTGATAATTGGTAAGAGTTTGCGATCTTATAATGTATAACTGTTACTCAGACACATATTTTGACACGATTCTGTTGGAAATAAGCTTTGAACCGAGAGATTTTCACGATTGATATGCACATTTTTGATTGTGCCATTGCTTTTCCATTGCACAATCCATGTATTGATAGAAGAAACATTAATAATGCAGATTGGTTTACCTTCAATACATGGCAGACACTACATATCGGTCTATTAATACCAGTTTGTGCCTTAAATAGTTTTATATTTCCATCCACGGCCTGGAGCCTGGGTGTGTTTGTTATCTAGTTATCTAAATATAAGGGTCCTAAGTAGCTTGCGTGTGTAGTGTTGCGTCATATTTATCCACAGGCATATACAACTGTATGGCACCCTCCTCTAAACTCACACATGTAGCATTGCCACCCTATCATGTCCAGTCTACAAATGTGTGACAGTAATGCACAAGGACGTATTGACAGGATTCGTACCTGAGTGGCTAATAGAGAGGCCAGGAACCATGGTACTCCCGTAATCACTAGAAAATGAGTAGACAATGTGAACAGATCACCGAAGTGGGTACAAAATGATATATAGCATGGTAGAGTTGCAATGGTGGATAGCATAAAGACCAATTACAAAAACGCAACAAACAGATAAATCGTAAAACAATAAAACCAGCGATGACTACATCTATTTCATTCAGATCTTAAGGCAGCACCACGAACTTTCATGACTGTGTCTTGGAATGTTGAAGACTAGAACTGCTACGGACTGTGGTAGCCCCAATGCATATTTTTTGTAATTGTATTTGTATTTGTATATTTATTCAACCAGCAATACGAAAAGGT